TTTGCTCATCCTAACTTTATAAAAGGGAGGCCTTCCTCATGTATTGTGCATTTCTCTCCAACATCTAATAGCGAGACTCATCAGGGAGACATAGCGGAATTAAAACAGGGTCGTATTGGTCCAAGGAAAGACAGACCAACGGCACGGGACAGAGAATACAGGAAAAGAGTCACCTCATTTTTTTTTTTTTTGACCAAGGTAGCATTTCAGCACAGTGAGGTAAAGGCTGGTCCTTTTAATAAATGGTTTATCCCTATGATAAAAGTAAATCTTGATGCCAACATCACAGGGTATACAAAAATCATTTGCAAGATGATTAGACATAAACACACAAGTAAAGCTTTAAGCTTCTAGAAAAATACACAAGAGAATATCTGCATGGTCTTGGGCTAGGTAAAGATTTTACAATCATAAAAAAGCCCAATAACACAGAAAAACTTGATATATTCGATAACATTAAATTTCAGTATTTCTGTTCCTCAGAAGGAAAACCCTGGTGGCATAGTGGTTAAGAGCTACGGCTGCTAACCAAAAAGGTCAGCAGTTCGAGTCCACCAGTTGCTCCTTGGAAACCCTATGGGGCAGTTCTACTCTCCTATAGGGTCGCTATGAGTTGGAATTGACTCGAAGGCAACGGGTTTGTTTTTTGGCTTTTGGCTCCACAAAACACATGTTTAAATCCTGACAAAGGTAAACCCAGAAAGAGTGAAGATATTTGAATGCTATGCATCAAATAAAGATTATTTAAAGAATTCCAGTAAGAAAAAATGTGAGCAGTGTATTAGATAAATAGACAAAGATTTGAACAAGCACCTCACAAAAGAGAAGAGCTACGTGGCCTATAAACACCTAAAAAGAAGCTCAACTCCGTTAAACATAGAGGAGATAGAAATGAAAGCCACAGTGAGATACCACTCCACGCCCACCAGAGTTTATAAAATGACAAAGGCAGAAGATGCCAAGTGTTGGCAAGAATATTGAACAAGTAGAACTCTTACACATTGCAGGTGAGAGGTTAAGTCGACACGATCGCTTAGGACAGATATTTGGCGGTATTTACTAAAGCTGAATATCACCTGTCTGTCAGTTTGTTGTACTGTGGTGGCTTGCATGTTGCTATGAGTCTGGACGCTATGCCATCAGTAGTTCAAATACCAGCAGGGTCACCCATGGTGGACAGGTTTCAGTGGAGCTTCCAGACTCAGATAAACTAGGAGAAAAGGTCTGACAATCTGTTTCCAAATATTCACCTATGAAAACGTTATGGATCACAATAGAACATTGACTGAGTGCTGAAAGATGAGTTACCTGATTTGGAAGGCACTCAGAATGCACAGTGACTACAACAGTGGACTTGCGCATGGCAATGATCGTGAAGATGGCACAGGACCGGACAGTGTTTTACTGTGTTGTGCGTGGGGTCGCCATGAGTTGGAGCTGACTTAATGGTGACTAACAACGACAAATTAAGCTTAAAAATACCCTATGAGCCCGGAATCCTACTTCTGGAAGTATACCCACAGATACGCATGTATCAGTTCTTCAAGAGATACATTCATAGCGGAACCATTTGTAAAAGCCAGAAGAGGGGACGACCCAAATGTCCATCCACAAAGAATGGAGACGTAGATTGTTTATACAATGAATATGTATCCAGAGAAAAATGCACACTATAGCTACATCCTCGGCATGGATTGATTTCATAGGCGTAATACTGAAGCCAGAAATAAAGGAGTACATATGGTATGGTTTCATTTACATAAAGTTCAAGAGCAGGTAATACTAATCTAGTGTTAGAAGTCAGGTTTATATACAAGTCAGTTTATCTTTTTATAGATATACAATTATATAACTATATATACATTTGTAAATTACATATTTTCAAAGATTGAAACTAAAGAGGAAAAGTTTTAGATTTATAATAAAGGAGCGCAAGGAGATAAATATTTCTTTAAAAATTCTTTCAAAGGTGTGCAAGCAGAGTTTTTCACCAAAATTAAGAGTTTGTATTGATGATGGAGAAAGGCAATAGCAATTAGGATGGATAGAAGAGAAAATGAAGAGACAGGGAGAAAATGAGCAGGTTTGAGTCATGAGTTACGTGAAGGTGTGATGGTGCGTGCAAGAAGACACGTTTTCCAGATTCCTGATTGAATTGCTAGGTACAGCTTAAAAAAACAAACAAAAAAACAGGCAGTTAAGGGAAAGGATTTCAGGAATTGCAAAATGTTCCATTTCTATTCAATTTCAGTTTTCTCCCACCAGGCTCACAGTTTTGTTACAGGATTTTAGCTACATTATTCTTTGGGGCTGAAATAATAAGGGGCATTCTTTGTCTTCAGACAACTTTAGTGGCAGCAGCAAATCAGAGCCAATTATTTTATGGGGACTGTATGCATTGTTTTTATATAAATGCATGCATGCACTCAGATAAAACTTATAAACACTAGCTCTTGTCCAAGACTGCTTGGAAATAGTCTTCTCACATATTCTTGGTTTATATTACTCAGGATTTTACCATCCAAATAATATCACAGAATATACAAACTCAGATGTTTTTGTACGCCCTCTCCCTCAGATCATCTTTCAAAATGCTAAATAAAGTAAACATCTGCACAATTTCTGGGAACCACAACTAGCTTCAGGAAACAATAAAAAAGGACAAGATAGACTTTAAAATGTTTCACTTCTCGTTTCTATTGTCAGTTTCCACATAGGCTTTTCTTTCCTCGGTTTCTTTTTTCCTTTTTCACTGTCATAACATATTGTTAGCTAGTATATATATCCGTTCACACACACACACAAATAATTAGAAATATAGATGATTAGCCCCTACTTTAAGTCAAACACTGTAGTCAATGAAAATTCTGAAAAGGTACAGTGTTTATAATAAGAGAACTTACAGCCTAGCAGGGAGAAACAGGTGCAAACAGACAATTAAACTAGAATAAAATAGTTACAAAGCAAACCAAATGACCTTTTCATGAAGAAAGAAATAATCATGGATACTTTGGAAATCACTGCTGTAGATGATATTAGCTCAAAGAAAATGTCTGATGCCATCACGTAAGCCAATGATAAATCCTTGGCAGAGTTTGTAAAAGATAGCACAGATGATTTTAAAAATCAAGTTTAATTCTAAAAGCTCATCTATGTGCATGAAGTAAAATGTATTTTATTTGAAATATGCATCGTGTATTAAATTGAGTTGTGGGTCTGCAAGTTGAAAGGCTTTATATACTGTTTTCAGAAATTGAAATCTTGCCTGACATTCTAAAGGCACTTCTGCTTTGGGAAGAATTTCATTTATATCAATAAATAAAACACTTTGTTATCCATATGAAATTAGAATAATTGTTTTATTTAAAAAAATAACCAAACCAAAAAACCAAGCCCACTGCCGCTGAGTTGATTCCAACTCAGCGACCTTAGAGGATAGAGTAGAACCGCCCCCGAGGGTTTCCAGGGAGTGGCTGGTGGGTTCAAACTGCCGACCTTTTTGATTAGCAGGGAGCTCTTTACCACTGCACCACCGGGTCTCTATCTAAAAAAAAAAAGCTAAGAAAAATAGATCTAAATATTACTTTTAAATTAGAAAATTTCTTCTACATTTTAAAATTTGTCGATATTATTATTGATATAATACCAAAAACTCCTATTTTGTCATTTTATTCACATGTTATACTGGTAAATTATTGAGAGAAGACTAAATGAAATATTTGTAACATTCTGGATACATCTGAAGTAATGACAATGAACTTGGATAGAATTTAAATATAAACTATGTAAGTCTTCTAGGCTCCATAGATTAATCACTCTGGTCAATTTTTGGGGTAGCTGATTGTGATGGATGTTAGATAATGAAACTTCTTATTTCTTTAGACAGGTGGCTCCTAACTTTGTAACATGCATTTTACTTCAAATCTTATTGTACTTTTGAGAAAAATATATACTCAAGCACACCCCCAAGCTCTGTATATAATTTCAGCATATTTATAAATCCCTCGAAGTCCACCTAGTAACCATTGACTATTACTATTACTCCTGTAACAACCATTGCCACACTTACAGCTACTGCTATTCAGTTGTTACAACTGCTATTGATTAGGTAACTACCATATTCTTTTATTTTTATAATTGATTTTGTTTTTGTTGTTGTTGAGAAGGTAGCTATTATATCCTAAAAGGAGCCCTGGTGGTGCAATGGTTAAACGCTTGGCTACTAACCGAGAGGTGATTCGATCCCACCAGCAGCTCTGCCAGAGAAAAGACCTGGTGATCTGCTCCAGCAAAGATTACAACCTAGGAAATCCTATGGGGCAGTTCTACTCTGTCCTATAGGGTCGCTGGAAGTCAGAATCAACTCTGCGGCACACAACAGTATTCTAGGTCTTTCCCTAAGGGCATGACTACGTTATCTCATTTAAGAATTGTTAAATATTTTTATGAAAAGTATTAATCCGGCATACATATATATTATTGTGTGTTTATAAATCCAGTAATATGCGAAGTATATTATGTATGGATGTTTTATAGTGAAAGGAATGAAGGTAAGTATCTGATTTTCTGAAAATTCGTATAGAAACTGGATTTCAGTTGCACAATTAGTATTCCAAGTTTCTCAGAGGATATTGAGACAAATTATTTGTAAGATCTTTGTATGCATAAGCTCATTTATCTGATGAAGGGTTTCATAGATCCCAAAAGAACTATATAACTTAGTGTAAGGTTTTTATCTTTTTAAACCTCAGTCTAACTACAAGATTTCTAATGCACCTGTAATGAGACTATTGAATGCATTTTGACATACCTGATCATTCCTTTGTCACTATTTGGTATAAGATGTGAGATATAATACGTGACTGCTTGGACAGGAGAGGAAAACCTGATGTAATACGCACAACAAGATCAGTTTCATATAGCAGGCACTTACCATTAACACCAAGCATGATTTGATCCCTTGAGAAAAAATAATGATGTTGAGTATGTTTCTTCTCTAGCGGTAACTTGCCCTAGTCTTGAAGCTCAGCTCTCAGAACACGTCATCTGGAGACTGGTTTCCGGATCACTGAATGAGTATGGAGCCCAAGTCGTGCTGAGCTGCAGTCCTGGTTATTATTTAGAGGGGAGAAGGCTCGTCCAGTGCCAAGCTAATGGAACATGGAGCATAGCGGAAGAGAGGCCGAGTTGTAGGGGTAAGTAACACATGTGTTTTCAGATTAAGTAGGCGTTTTAATCACTGACATCAATTACATCTCCCTTTAAAGTGCTATAATCGATCATAGTCTTGTAGATTAAAAATATAAGCAAAAGGCATTTCTTTTAAGAATAATAATGGATATGCATTTTTATGTGACATATTTAAACATATGACTGCAGGATGGATTCAAAGGTAAATGTTGCTTTTTCTCATTAATGATCACATTTTGTAAAATTTCAAATATGAGAATACTCAAATATCAAATCAGCTTAAGAAAAATATACAGGCCTGTGTTTAAAAACATGACTCTTATTCCACATACTGATACTGAAAAGTTCTAGTTAGGACCTTGGGAAATGGTATTTATACTGAAGATAATTGTGTTCTCCAATGACTGTCTTGAAAAGGGAGATTATTATTCTCTCAGGTACAAGATAAGCAGGTAAGTCTTTTAGTGAGCTTCATGCTAAATATGAATAAATAGAAAAATAAAACAGTAACAGTATTCAGAGCACTGTTTAATTCAAACATATTTAATATGCAATCTTAGTTGAGTGTTCACAGTAAATTATCATGCATAGAAACAAGTAGTAGACCAGTGTACAATTTATAGAATACACAACTTAGGAAGAATAAACCAGGAAAAAAAAAAAAGACAAAACGAATTAATGCTTAGCTGTCTTTGATAATCATTTTAATTCAGCTCTTAATAGAACAAATGTTAATTAAACACATACTACAGGCTATTCACCAGGAACACAGAGAGAAATTAGGAAGGACCAGTGACCTCAAGGATCTCATGTTCATCACAGTCTTGGTGACACGCATCCCTGTCTCCCCAGGACAGTCCTGACTGAAGCTTGTTTTCCAGGGGAATTATTAATGGCTCCCTTGTTACTCTAAAAAGTGTCCTGGTTTGAATGATTACTTATATGGTCACTGCATTTGAAGTGAATTTCCCGTTATATTTCTGCCACTTAGTAAATGTTCTCCTTCTCCATCCACAAACACAATCATGCTCACACGCACACATGAAGTCGGCTTTGTGATTTGGAGACTGCAAGCCAGCATAGAGAGTTGAGAAGGAATTATAAGCATTTAACCCATTGCCATCAAGTTGATTCCAACTCATAGAGACCTTATAGGATAGAGTAGAACTGCCCCCATAGGGTTTCCAAGGAGTGGCTGGTGGATTTGACCAACTGACCTTTTGGTTAGTAGCTGAGCTCTTGCTTATTTCTGACTCCAGGTCTTCCAGCCAACATTCCCTTTGTCAGTTTCAAACAGAAACATATTTACTTCCTGAGGATGGGGCCTTCGCGTAGGGCTTGTGAAGATGCGGAAAGGCTCACACAGCTGTCCTTAGCTCTCTAAGGTCCCAGGTACACTCGGCTACAGTCATCCTGCTCCCCAGTGGGGGATCCCGCGGGCTGTGTATTTGTGGTGCCGCCAGCCTCTTACACCAAGGGCTGAAAACACTACTCAGGGAGAGTTTACACTTAAAATGGACAGTCTTCTATTTAAGAGAATTTTTGTGAAAACCAGGACCGACCTTCATCGGGGGGGAAGAAGCAAATCAGGACTCTGCTGTCCTTAAATAACATTTCTGCCTCCATCTCTGAAATTCTATAGTGTCTGTTTTCCTGATTCACCCTTAATATACTTTAAGCTGATGTCTCTTATACTGAATTTGGTCCAGAGACAACAATTACAAATTCACTGATGTGCATATATCGAACACTTGGGCTATACATTTATTTTGTCAATTTTAAACAGTTCATGGACTCAGGTTGCTAGCCCTGCGTTCTTCTATCACATTTTATTTGTCTCTTTTAGATATCACTGTGAACTCGCGCCCTTTTCCCTACTCAGTCGGTTCCAGTCGAAATCATTGTTTGTTTGTTTTTCTTTTTTGGTGGTTTTATTAATGTTTGTAGTTTACATTGTCCCAGCGTGGCCAGGGGGAGTCCCTTTTACATGACTTCTCTCACTTGTCTTTCTGACGTCTCTGAAATTGTCCTTGATTCGCATGAAGATCGAAGGCTTCGTGCTCATCCTGAGTTTCCTTACTCAAACTTGGAATCGGCCCTGTGCCTTTTAGTGGAGAAGGAGAGTAAACCTGTGGTGGGGGTGTGCGTTCTGCTGTTCATGTGGTTAATGCGGCAGGGAAGTTGACACGGGGCTTAGAGTCACTTTTGAGACCAAACCAAAACATTTCTGTTTTCTTTTCCCTAAAATATTTTTTATATTGATATTTTCAAGCTCTGAGATTTCTTTTCACTAACAGCTTATCAAGGATTTTTCACTCTTTTTACTAAGATTGATATTAGATATTGCAGTACTTAATGTTGTGTTCAAATTATGGTGGTGTTAAAATTGTAGCAATCGATCGCTCCTCTCACTCCCCACCGCCCACCCCCGCAACACTTCTATTCTCTTTGGTTTACTTGTGAAATTTGGAACTTACTCCAGAGGATGCAAGTCGAGGGATCCCCTTCAGCGATTTCATTAAAAAAATCACTCTACTTAAAACGTATCCCAGCTTCTTCATAGCAGAAGTTCCTAAGATTTTCCATCTCAGGAACTTTATATTCTTAACAATTATCAAAGACCTCTATTAATTTTCAATTTCTATGTAACTCATTACTACCAAGCTCAGGGGCATAAAATAACACAGATTTATTCTCTCGTAATGTCTGTAGGTCAGGTGTTAGGCATGTTTAAGCTAGGTCCTCTGCTTGGAGTCTCACAAGCCTAAAGTCAAGGCAGGCCAGGTGTGTCCTTATCCGGAGGCCCAATTAGGGAAAAACCCACTTAAAAGCTGAGTGTTGGCAGAATTTATTTCCTGTGGAAGTATGACCGGAGTCCCCGTTTTCTTGTCCGTCTTTATTGGTAACTGCTGGCAACAACCAGAGGCCACTCTCAGTTCCTTGCCATGTTCTCCCTCACAATTTAAATCCCTCTGACTTTAGGAAAGACGCAGCTCATTTTAAGAGCCACCTGATTAGGTCAGGCCCACCAGGTACTATAAGTTTTTATTAACCCCAAATCAACAGATTAGTGACCTGATCGAAGTTTTTCCTTTACTCAGGAAGATTTTATAAGATGTATACACCAGGGAACAGGTATCTTGGGGTCATCTTAGAATCCTGCCTATACACCACAGGACCTCAAAAAGCTGTTATTTTTACTGTATTAAAAGTAAAGTCAATAATTATTTTAAAGCCTATACATATTAATTCATTTTAATGTTGATTAATTTATGTTAAAATAACAATAAATCCATTGTATGTTAATATAAATAACATATTTTCATAAACAATAACAATCCCAAACATATGGAGTGAGGCAGTGTCACGTTAGAATTTTGCAATTCTCTTTAATGTCTGGCTTAATAGAAAACAGCTCAATTTTCACGTTGCCTTTTGTGTTGAGCCTGTTGCTGTGTATATTTTGTTTTACGCATATAAAGAAAATCGATCCGTAGTGTTGTTGGAAAAGGAAGAAGCTTGAGGACCCCTGAAAAGGTATTAGGGCCCCCCAGGGTTTCTTTGATCACATTCTGAGAACAGCTGTTTCAGATAAACACCACAGAATACAAAAGAGAAGACATCTGTTGTCTGAGATAGACTTTCACACAAATCATAGACAAAGCAAGGGAAGGAACCACA